GGATCACATTACACATTATTTACTTAGTCCCGATGTTATTTCTTCAGGAGGATCTGGTTGATGAAGAATGGAATTTAGAGAACGTAATTAGGGTACTTGGAAGCTTATTCTTTCTGGGTTGTTGTTCCTAGAGGTTAGAGTATTTCTTGTCTGAAGGTGTTAGATTAAACAGATTTTTCAATATATGCCTCTGTTTTTATCTTAGCAATGCGTGTATTTCAGGTATAAGGAACATTAGGACGAACACAATTCCAGTAAATTTAATTATGAGAATATATTTTTTTCAGAGACAATTGCTTTCACACTAGGATTCAGTAAGATGGTAGAGTCTGAATTCAGGGAGGCAGTGAGATTGGCTGTTAGAATATAATGGGATGATTTTTAACAAAAATACATTTAATTTTAATAAATGAAGCAGTAAATGAATAAAACGCTCAGATGGTTCAGAACAGACTGATAACTCCCTTGGCAGGTAGTAGTCAAGGAATTATTCACATTCCAAAGAAGGTAGCGTCTGAGCTGGGTTTTACAGGAAGGATAGGGATTCAACTCTATGTATAAAAGATGAAGTGAAAGGACTGACATGATGGCTCAATTGATTGGTCCTGCACCCGCAAGTGCTGGCATCTCATGGAACTAGTTTGTGTCCTGGCTGTTCCATTTCCCTCCTGTCTGGCTCTCTGCTTATGGCCTAAGGAAGCAATAGTGGATGACCCAAGGCTGTGACATCCTATGCCTGTTTGACCCAAAAAAGCTCCTGGCTCCTGGCTCTGGCTTTGGATCAGCTCAGCTTGACTGCTGCAGCTATTTAGGGAGCGAATCAGTGGATGGAAAACCTTTCTGTCTGTCTCTCCTCTCTGTAAATCTGCCTTTCCAATACAAATAAATAAATCTTGAACCCGACATGATGACTTAATAGCTAAATCCTCACCTTGCAAATGCTGGGATCCCATATGGGCACTGGTTCATGTCCTGGCTGTCCCACTTCATCCAGCTCCCTGTTTATGGCCTGGGAAAGCAGTAGAGGACGGCCCAAAGCCTTGGGACCCTGCACCCATGTGGGAGACCCAGAAGCGACTCCTGGCTTCTGGCTTTGAATCAGCTCATCTCTGGCCTTTGTGGCCACTTGGGTAGTGAGCCAGTGGATGGAAGATTTTTCTCTCTGTAAATCTGATCTGCCTTCCAATAAAAATAAGCAAATCTTTAAAATAAATAAATAAAAGATGAAGTAAGCGTACTTCGTTTTAGAGTAAAAGGCAAATGAAAAGTAAGGAGCATGGAAACAAAAATAATCAATACTCTAAAATGGAAAATGACAAAGGAAAATAAGGCAAAATTATGAAAATCTCAATGACATTAAAAAAAGAAAAAAAAAACCACCTTGGCTTCTGTTAGAGGCAAAGGAGAAGCACTGGTGGATTTTCAGCAGAAATAAACGGTGTAGCTTGCTGCCCTTGGTAATCACTGCAACAGCAACGAGGAAATGGACTGGGAAGGGCATGGCTGCATGCTCAAGTTCACAGCAGCCAAGGACATGCCAGTATCATTTAAATACCCTAAGATGGAAAACACTTGGAGAATAAAGCTTTATTTATTTGGAAGAGGGACAGAGAAAGAGATCTGGTATCCACTGGCTCACTGCCCAAATGGTTGCAATAGCCAGAACTGGGTAAGGCTGAAGCCAGGAGCTAGGAACCCCACCAGGTTTCCCATATGTGTGTGTAAAGGGCCCAGGAATTTGGATCATGTTCTAAAATCTTCCCAGGGACATTAGCAGGAATCTGTATTCAAGCAGAACAGCAGGGCTAGAACCAGTGTTCCAGCATGGGATGCTGGACTCATGAGTAGCAAGCTTAATGCACTGGGCCGCAACACCCGGCTCAAAAAATCCAGTCTTGAACAGGATGTGAAATCACTGAAACTTCTGCATGTGGCTGCTGGTAGTGTACACTGGTGACACCATGACTGAAAGTAGTTTTGCGGTCAGTGTTCAGAAAGTTAGAAGGTGCTCATAGCCCTTAACGCAGCAGTTCTGTGCGTGTGTATACTCTAGCCTAGAGATGGTCACACCTGTATGGAGACATGTTCAACAATGTTGACTTCACCTTTTTTGATTAAATAAAAGAATTGGAGATGACATTAATGTCCATTTACAAGAGAAGCTGTTAATTTTGATGTTAGCGTAATAACATACTATTTAGCAATGATAATCAGAGCTGTAGTAATGAGACATGAAAAAAGCTTACCAAATAGTACATATAGTATGATGTCATCTATATAAGGTTATTTATGCAGAATATTATTATCAAATGTGCTAATAGATCAAGGTACTAAATTTAAGAGTCTGGTTTTCCATGAGGAGGAAAAGTGGGAAGGAAATGAGATTAGGGAGGTTTGTATAGTGAGCTTCACATTTTTCTTTTTTTAATTATTATTTTTAGTTTTGATGATTTTACGTAGTTGGTTAGGGTGATGAGGGTAAAGGGCTACAGGAAGATGGGTGAGATCACCATTTCCACATTCTCTTTTTTTCCTTCCTGTATCTGGGAGAAGCAGTGAGACAAGGAGAGAAGCCACACCCAGCCTCCCAATTGCCTCTGCATCCTTGATGGAGGACAGCCACTCCAGGGTCCCCAATGTGGGGCATGTTTTGAGGGTCCTGTCCATGAGGTTTCAGTAGTTTAATAGTTCCAAATTACTGCCACTCCAAGCAAGACGAAATCTCTCCAGAATCCACTGACTGACAGTCCACCCTTGAGTCTCCACTTGCCCAGTTATTCACCGCCGACACTTGGCTGTGGTAGTTGATCAATTTCTGTCCTCTGTCCTCTGTTGTGGTACCAGATGTCCTCTACAGACTCCAGTGTAGCACGACAGCCTCCATATACACCTGGACATGCTGTCCACTGCTCTGTCCACACCAGCTCTGACACATGCACTCATGGTCAGGCCACAGAACCTGCAATTCTCTCCGTGGTTGGGGTTCTGAGTCCAGCAATTCAGTTGGGGAGATCCCCATAGAAACCTCATTTGAAGTGATCTCAGAACTAATTCCTGAGGTGCTTGCCAACACAGGGTCCAGCACAGCCCATCATCTCAGCTTATGCACATGCTGGTGGTTGCAATTGCTGGGTCAGTTTGGTTTCCAGGCCCATCTTCTACACAAACAAATGGGTGTTGGAGCCCAGTCCAATCCTGGCTGCCACACACTCGGCCTTCACATACACTAGTGGAAGCTGTAGCCTAGTCAGAGTAACCCCCATCAGGCCTGCCGCCTGCCCTGGTTCCTGTGATTGTCAGTATGTACAGTAGACTGGTCCAGTCTGTCCCACATCCCATTCATCTCTCATACATGTCAATGAGCACTGAAGCTTAGTTCAACCCAACCAGGCCTATTATCCAGCCCACTCACATGCTGGTGGGTGCCACTCTGTCTAACCATGCTTGTCCCAGTCATGATTCTCATGTTCACCAGATGGAGTGGCAACCCGGGAGGCAAATGTCCAGTTTTTCCCTACCGGGCCCACTCCCATTCCCAGATCTTGCATCCTCCAGGTGGTTCTGTAGTTTAACTAGAAAGAATTTGCTCCCTGTGCCAGCATGTGTCAGCTGATGCTGTGGCAAATCCCAACCCACCCACCCTCTGGCTTATACGTGCACCAGTAGGAACAGTCAACCCTGCCTGCCTTTTCCCTAATCCAGCCCACATGAGGCCCACAGGAGTTGTAGCCCTGCCCAGACTGGTCTGCCCCCATCCCAACCCACGCTCTCCAGTAGGAGTGGTGGTCCAGCAGGGGAGCTCTGCACAGCCCCCTACCAACTTTGCCCCCTACCCCCTGGGTCTCACGTAAGTTGGTTGGGTGCTGTGGTCCAGGCTGGCATGGCCTGCCTCACCTCAGCATTTAAAACTAAAAAAGAAAAAAAAAATCATGAGTAAATACAGCACAATTAGAATTTGTAAAATAAGGCGATGGTTAAAGTGGTTGCTATTTTTTATTCTTGTGTATTTTTCTAGTAAAACACAAATCCTTCGAGCTTAGAGAACGTTAGGATTATTTTCAGAGTGAAGTATTTTTTAAGATTTATTTATTTATTTGAAAGTTAGATATACAGAGAGAAGGAGAGACAGAGAGAAAGATATTCCATCCGATGATTCACTCCCCAAATGGCCGCAATGGCCAGAGCTGAGCTGATCCATTGAAGCCCAGAGCCAGGAGCCTCTTCTCGGTCTCCCGCATGGGTGCAGGGTCCCAAGGTCTTGGGTTGTGTTCTCAGCTGCTTTCCACAGGGAGCTGGATGGGAAGTGGGGCCACCAGGATTAGAACTGGTGCCCATATGGGATCCTGGCGTGTGTAAGGCAAGGACCCCAGCCGCCAGGCTACTGCGTCAGGCCTAGAGCAAAGTATTTTGCTGGTATCTTAGTATTTTGAGTTTTTAAAAAATCTTGTATATTTGACAAATGCTCTAGCTCAGATATTGTTTGTTTCAGAATTAGCTTCAGCAACAATTATCCATTCGTTGGCCACAAGAGTTCCAGAATCTCCTAGGACTCAGCCTGCAAGTACAGCCAAAACACCTCGAACATCCGGGTTACAAGATTCTAACAAAATACGAAGGTTTTATCCTGTAGTTAAAGAACCAAAAGTCATTGACATAAAGGTATGCAAAACAACCAGGAATATAAAGTCTGAATTTTGTATCTTTTAACATGACAGAAAGAAAGTTTTTTAGTTTCTATCACATTAAAAAGTATATTTTAAGTTGTAAGAATTCATTAAAAATGGTAATTGCCATAGTGATGTTTTTCAGATTAATAACTATATTTAAGATGAGCAGAAAGTGTGATGCAGAATCCTATTAAACTGTCTTGTCTTCAGTTCTTGTGTCATGAGCTTAGCAAAGAGCCCTGCTGGTAAATTTTGCAACTTGCATGTGAGATGTTTGAGTTTTGTGACTTCATATGATTTCACAATGTGTCATCCACAGTGTGAAAATGTTTTGAGTTGGCTTACAGTCAGAGGGTTTTAACTTTTCACAGCACTGAAAGTAACTGCAATGTTCAACTTCTTTTTCTTTAGTGTCCACGAAAAAGAAAAACGAGGCACAGTACAAACCCTCCTGTAGAGTGTCATGTTGGTTGGGTAATGGATGCCAGAGACCATGGGCCAAGAACAGCCGCTGTCAGGTACCACATTTGTCAAGCATCACTTTTTCCCCCCTTGATTTCAAATTTGTTGAAAATAATCACTAATCAGATATTTGAATATTAGCTATTAATAAAAACTAATATGTAAATTATAAAACAATGAAAATAGTAAAAAGACTAAGACATAGAAATAAGGACAATTTTGCAATAAGTATATTGAAGGAATAGTTCAGTGCATGATTTTTTAAATTTTTTTTCAGAAACTTAATGAGTTCGTAGGTTTATAAGCTGCTGTTTAATTCTATGAAATATATCGTTGGAAAAAGATCCCAGATTATTAGTGTTACTTGCAAGTTTTTCTCTCTGTATCTTCTGGGTCTCCCATGTGGGTGCAGGGTCCCAAGGTGTTGGGCTGTCCATGACTATTTTCCCAGGCCACAAGCAGGGAGCTGGATGGGAAGTGGGGCTGCTGGGATACAAACTGGTGCCCAATAATGAAATAAAAGACAGTATGAATAGGTTTAAACCCTTGTTTTTGGTATTTCAGTGTGAAGGTTTTTTTTCCTCCCTCCTCCACAGCAGTTTAAATGCCTCACCTTCAGAAGGCCTAGCACTGGGAGGCAGTAATGGATGTATTCCTCAGTCATTCCCCAAGTTCCAACACCCTTCTCATGAACTTCTGAAGGAAAATGGCTTTACCCAACAGGTGTACCACAAGTATCGTCGAAGATGCCTAAGTGGTAAGAGGCTTCTCTTTCACCTAGTTATTTTTAGAATGAAAGTATTATCCTGAAAAACTCAAGTGTCATTTAAGACCAAGTTAAGATATTCTCTTTTTTTCCTATCGCCAAATTAAATGACCTTATATATGTTTTTAGAAAAATCAGAAATTAAAATCTGGCATGCTTTTTTATTACTATTGAGAAATATTTATGGTCTAAGCCATATATCAGGAAAAGGTTAATATTTTTCTCCTGTTTAGAAGAAACACAAATATATTTTTGCATTCTCTTCTAAATTATATACATTTTCTATTGTTTTGATTTTGAAAATTATATTTAGTAAAAAGGTGTTTTATTATTTTCATTTTTTCCAGAGAGAAAATGCTTGGGAATTGGTCAGTCCCAAGAAATGAATACCCTCTTTCGTTTCTGGTCCTTTTTCCTCAGAGATCACTTCAATAAAAAAATGTATGAGGAATTTAGACAACTTGCTTGGGAAGATGCAAAAGAAAATTACAGGTCAAATATTTTCTAATGTTTCTTGGGAGGAGAACTGAAATAAACTGTTTCTTGTTTTTATTTCTCATGTTATGGTTCCATAGTCACAGGTATTCCCGTTTCCGCCCTGTTCCTCCCCTCCACTCTTTTCTGCCATGTTGCTACAATAGTACAGTCCTTCAGCAGCAGTCATGTGTCCAGCATTCTGCTATTTCAGTGTATCATGACATTGTAGGTGCAGACAGTGGTAGAAATCTAGTATCCTGTTGTCAAGATACATTTATCATGGCCTGGTGCAATGGCTAAATCCTCACCTTACAAGCACCTGAATCCCATGTGGGTACCTGTTCATGTCCCAGCTGCTCCACTTCCCATCCAGCTCCCTGCTTGTGGCCTGAGAAAGCATTCGAGGATGGCTCAAACCCTTGGGACCCTGCGCCCGCATGGGAGACCCAGAAGAAGCTCTTGGCTCCTGGCATTGGCTTGGCTCAGCTCCAGCTGTTGTGGCATTTGGGAAGTGAACCAGCGGATGAAAGATCTTTCTCTCTGTCTCTCCTAGTTTCTGTAAATCTGCAAATCTGTTTTTTTGATAAAAATAAATGATAACTCTTCTAAAAACAATGTATCTTGTTTCATTTGGGAGTTGTCCTTTTATTGGGAGTAGAGATGCCTACTGTGGTGTATCTTTGCTTCCCAGCATGCTAGTCCTCATTCTGAAGTGGATTTTACAGTTTTTGACTGTAGAAGTAGTACAGTGTGGCTGGAACAAGGGCTATGTTGCTGCATAGCAAACTACCTCAAGACTCAGGTTAAAATAACTAATATTGATTAGCTAATATCTTAAAAAGAGATTTATTGATTTATTTGAAAATCAAAATTAGAAGGAGACAGAGAGATAAAACGATCTTGCATCTGCCAGTTCACTTCCCAGATGAATACGACAGTCAAGGCTGGATCCAGGATCTAGGATCCAGGCAGGAGCTTCTTCTAGGTCTCTTATGTGGGTGGCAGGGTCCCTACTACACGCCTGGGCCATTAGCAAGCAGTTGGGACATGAGGCGGGCCCATATGGGGTGCACTACCGCTGCCAGCTTTACTCTCCATTGCACAACAGTGGCCCCTAGTTCATCTTTTCAAAATACCTAGATTCCAGCAACCACTTAACTGAATGTTTTTGTTTGTTTGTTTTGTTTTGTTTCTAAGATTTCTTTATTTTCATTTGAGAGACAGATTGCAGAGAGAAGGAAAGACAGAAAGTTCTTCATCTGCTGGTTCACTCCCCAAGTGACTGCACAGCTGGAGCTGAGCTGATCCGAAGCCAGGAGTTTTTTCCAGGTCTCCCATGAGGGTACGCAGTCTCAAGGCTTCAGACCATCCCCTATTGCTTTCCCAGACCATATGCAGGGAGCTGGATGGAAAGTGGAGCATCTGAGACGTGAACCAGTACTCATAAGGGATTCTGGCACTAGCAGACAGAGGATTAGCCTGTTGAGCTATTGCAACAATTCCAGCTAAGTGGTTTTGATTCAAGATCTCTCTTGAGGTTGCAGTCAATTTGTTTGAAGGAAAGGGCAGGCATTATGTGTTAAAGATCTGATTGAAAAACTTGGCATTCCATGTAACAGCCTGGGTCTAGTGCTACCCTCCATGTGAGCCTTGTTGCTGATAAGCCTGGAAGGTAGCAGATGGTGATGGTTCAAGTGTTTAGGTTCCTATTTCCCATATGGGGATTCAGTGAAACTGCTGGCTGTTAAGGGCTTTTGAGGAATGAACAGATAGAAGAGCTCCCTTCTTATCAAGAAAGGTAGAAAGAAAAATCAAAAGCTAGGCCTGTCACGAGATGTCTCAACTCACTTATTCAAGCTCATCCCCTCCCACTAATCCTATCAGCCAAAGTGGTATGAGACTATGGTGTTCCCTGAGTGACCCAGCTTCTCTAGCCTGTGGGCATCTGTGCTTGTTCTTCCTCTTGCTCATTCTCTTCTTCCTGTATTTTGCTAACTGCTGTTCTTTTTGTCCCGGCTTAGACCTTACACTTGCTTTGGAGATGTTCAGGGCAAGCCTCAAGAATGCCTCCAGGGCTGAGTGGGAGCAGAGCAGGGGAGTGAGAAGAAGCACACGACAGACTCATGTGGGCTGTCTGTCCACAGGGGAAAACGGAAAAAAAGATCATTTTAAATTCACCCTTCTTCAAGTTCTGAGAATGTATTCCTGTTGTAAATCTCAAATGGGAACATATTATTAATTAGATCTTGTGATCATGGGAAGGAATACAAGGGGCTGAAAATATACTTGGTGATGAAAATTACTATGTGTTGCTCTGCTGAGCTGAGTTCATTTCCATCTAGAATCTTTTATCTGGATCAGGAATGGCCGAGGCAAAGCGTGTATCTGTCTTTTCTGTCTGGTCTGATTTCTAATCAATCCTAGCTCCTTTTAGCCTCTCCCTTAGAGTCTTCAGATTTATACTCCGTTCATTGTGCTTCTTAATAGCTGCTTCCCATTTGCCAGTTAGCACAAAAGTCCGAATTGGCCATTCGTCATCTCCGTGTTCTCATTCACAACACAATGTGTGGATGAGTAGTCAACTGTCCTACATTTCTCTTGGTGACTTGCCAAGGAACCTGTTCATTCTTTTGGAGAGACTCTGCATCTTATAAATGAGCTAGTTACGAAAGACATAACACTCACCTGCCTTGCTTTCTGTGAGTGACAGCTAGTCAGCTTTACGTTACTAGTAATGCAGAAGTAACAACCTTATTCCACTGAGAACCCCCCAGATAGCTTAAGGACTCTGACTGAGGTGTCTTTTAATTGTGGCATCTTTTAGTTAAGTCATCCTGGCATGGGGACCCTCTATTGCCATCTTAATGGTCTTATGATTCACTGTCATGCATTCTGATGTTTTCATCACTGTTAGATCAAGGTTGAGCCTATGTAGTTTGCCAATCCACGGTCCCAAACTTACATTTTTCCCTGATTTATGAGGTGATAATAACTCACAGCAATACATATACTGTTAATTATATTTTATAAATAGAGCAGAAAGTTCCCTTAGGAACCACTTAATTAGGCTTTTGCTATTATAGTTGAATGTGTCAGCATCCAGGGTGCAGGACAGGAGAGAGTGGCTTTTCTGTCCTGGGAATTTATGTAATATTTAAGAAGTTGTTGTTTTTTGTTTTAAAGATTTATTTTTATTACAAAGTCAGATATACAGAGAGGAGGAGAGACAGAGAGGAAGATCTTCCATCCAATGATTCACTCCCCAAGTGACCGCAATGGCTGATGCTATGCCGATCCGAAGCTGGGAACCAGGAACCTCTTCCGGGTCTCCCACGCGGGTGCAGGGTCCCAATGCTTTGGGCCGTCCTTGACTGCCTTCCCAGGCCACAAGCAGGGAGCTGGAAGGGAAGTGGAGCTGCTGGGATTAGAACCGGCGCCCATATGGGATCCCAGCGCATTCAAGATGAGGACTTTAGCCGCTAGGCCGCTGCGCCGGGCCCGCCAGGCCCTGTTTTAAAGATTCATTTATTTTTATTTGAAATGCAGAAATTACAGAGAGAGAGATATCTTTATTCACTGGTTTACTCCCCAGGTGGCTGCGGTGGATAGAACTGGGTTGATCCGATGGCAATGAGCTTTTTCTAGGTCTCAGATTTGGGTGTATGAGCCCAAGCAATTGTACTTCTTAGTACTGCTTTCCCAGACACATTGACAGGGAGCTGGATCTGAAGTAGTACATCTAGCACTGTAATCGGGACCTGTAGGGGATGCTAGTGCTACAGGTGGCCCAGAGTACCAACTCTTGGTTACTGCCATGCATAGACCATTATAAACCTTGGTCTGGGAAAACTCGAAATCATTACCAATTTGTCACTATGTCTTTTGACCAGTTCTTTAGAAACAGCTGGAGAGGGCCTGATGTGATGACTCAGTGGCTGAATACCTACTTTGCAGATACTGTGATCCCATGCTCATGACCCAGCTACTCCACTTTCCATCCAGCTCACTGCGTATGACCTGGGAAAGCCACGGAGGACAGGACAAAGCTTTGGGACCCTGCCCCAGCATGGGAGACCCAGAGGAAGCTCCTGGCTCCTGCCTTCGGATCAGCTTGGCTCTGGGCATTGCAGCCACTTGGATAGTAAAGCAGTGAATGGAAGATCTTTTTGTCTTTCCTTCTCTCTACAAATCTGCCGTTCCAAAACAAAACAAAACAACAACAAAATAGCAGGGAGAGATATTCTGTCCAACCAAAGAAGCCATCCCCTTACTGAGCTAGGTTAGCCTGTCATCCTGTAGGTCACAATATGCCTTCATCAGGTGCTATGGCTGAGTCAACGGGAACAGCAAGGCCGGCTATGGGTTACTAATCATCACCTCTGTGAAAAGTCTGCCTACTAAAAATTTGTTTTTGCTGCTGCTGATTTGTATAATGTCTGCCTCTATCAATACTGCTGACTATGAGATATTTGTGGTGTTATGCAGAAATTGTATGATAAACCTTTAATTTCCTTTCCCTAGGTATGGGTTAGAATGTCTGTTCAGGTTTTATAGTTATGGACTGGAAAAAAAATTCAGACAAGAAATTTTTAAGGATTTCCAAGAAGAAACCAAAAAAGACTACGAATCTGGTAAAAAAACCGAATTAGTAAATAAAAAGCTTATCCTATTTGGAAATTATAAAACCAGTGTCAATCAACAAAGATAGAAAAAGAATTTTTGTTTTTTTCTTCTTTAAGACCTTTGGCTCACTGCATATGGTCTTGATGTAGGATGAGGCATTGTAAAGTAAGAAGGCCTTTCCTTTGAAAAGTTGGCAAATAACCACTCGCAGTTCTCTCCTTGCTGTAGCTGTATTTTGTCACTCTCCTCTTGACAAATATGTTGCCTTCCATACCAGTTCTATGGTACATCAGAAGGTATGCTTGGCAAGGCAGGATAGCACTGCTTAACAGTGCAGCCTTCCAGCTGGATCCTCAGGTCTGACTCCCATTTTGACTACTTCATATATAGATAAACTGGGGTAAGTAATTTAAACTGGCTAGTCTGAGTTTTCTCATCTGTCCATCTTTGTGATTGCATATCGTGTGCCTGACACATAATGAAGCATTTATTACACCTCTTAGAGAGCCAGTACTTAACTGCTGATGGTCATTGTATGAAGTTACTTCCCTAAGCTCATGGGCAATGGAATTAGAAAATAAATCTATTTTTGCGTGAAAAATGTTGAAATCTGTGCATAGTGTTTTTTTTATAATACACATTGTTCATGGACTTTTGGAAGATGCTATTCCCTTTATGTGTCATTCTCAAGATCTAGATTAAATGTGAATTAGAAGATACATGGCTGATTGGTAATGGGATCATGTTTGCTATGAATCTTCTAAAAATTCTGTATTATTTACTGTGTTTATCCTTACTAGGTCAGCTGTATGGACTAGAAAAATTTTGGGCTTATTTGAAATATTCTCAATCTAAAACACATTCTATTGATCCAAAGCTACAGGGATACCTCTGTAGTTTTAAGAAGTTAGAAGACTTCCGTGTTGAAGTAAGTTTCATTCCTTTCCTCTATTTCTTTTGTTACTCTTGTATTTCTATACATGTACTGGAATCTTAAGAAGTAGAAAATAGATGGAAGGAATTGTAATTTGTATTTGCTTTCTAGTTTTTATAAATGTATTTGATGACTCAGGAGTGAAGTTGATACAAGGGAACATGTTGGGCAATAAGAATTAGTTTTCTGGGGCCTGGCGCGGTGGTGCAGTGGTTAAGGTCCTCGCCTTGCACGCCCGGGATCCCATATGGGCGCCAGTTCTATCCCGGCAGCACTGCTTCCCTTCCAGCTCCCTGCCTGTGGCCTGGGAGAGCAGTCGAGGACGGCCCAAAGCATTGGGACCCTGCACCCGCGTGGGAGACCCAGAAGAGGCTCCTGGCTTCGGATCGGCATAGCATCGGCCGTTGCGCTCAGTTGGGGAGTGAATCATCGGATGGAAGATCTTCCTCTCTGTCTCTCCTCTCTGTATATCAGCCTTTCCAACAAAAAAATAATAAAAATAAATCTTTTTAAAAAAAAGAATTAGTTTTCTGAAATAACCTAGCTAGTTATGTCACAAAATACCCCTGCTTTATAACCTAATCCTTGTCCTTTCTCAACATAAATTCAGAATTCAGAAATTCTCTGTTAAATGCAATGGAAGGGTGGCAGTTACTACCTTAACCTGTCTCCTTGGTGGACTGTTCTGGCATCCAAATGTTAGTGACTGAGGGGGCTAAAAGGCTGCTTTGGTTTTGTTTTGAGTATAAGGTGCCTTTTCACTGTCCTCCCCTTTCCTGCTTGTTTTTTGAATGGATTTGGCAGCTTTATGGGCCCTTACATTTGAATTTATTTGAATGTTGTAGCATCAGTGATGATCAGTTTCCTTACTGTAAGAATACTGGCTAAGCCTTCAGACTGGCTGAACATTATGGGCTTGGCCTCCTTCTCCACCTGCTACTTCCATTCATCAGGTATTTAGACATTTAGCACTCACACAAGCCTCGGTTAGGAGTTTAGACATGAGGATGGGGCATAAATGCTTCCCAGCTGGCAGAAATTGATAAAAGATTATTTTCTTGGAGGCAATAAATCCAACCTTATGTACATTTGTTCTATTAGGTAGCTCAGACCCTAAAACACAAGAAAAGATTAATAAAAGTGTCCAAGCAACGAGCAAATGCTGATTCACCTAGGAACAGAACTTTAGTTCCTTAAAGTTGCTGTTAATTTTTTAAAAAAAGATTTATTTACTTTTTATGGGAAAGTCAGATTTACAGAGAGAAGGAGAGATGGAAAGAAAGATCTTTTGTCAGCTGGTTTACTCCCCAAGTGGCTGCAAAGGTTAGAGCTGAGCCAATCCAAAGCCAAGAGCCAAGAGCCCCTTCTGGGTCTCCCACGCAGGTGCAGGATCCCAAGCTTTGGGCTGTCCTCTACTGATTTCCCAGGTCACAGGCAGGGAGCTGGGTGGGAAGTGGAGCAGCTGGGACACGAACTGGCGTCCATATGGGATCCCAGTATGTTCAAGGTGAGGACGTTTTAGCCACTATGCTATCGCGCTGGGCCCACTGCTAATTTTCTGTTAAGCTAATAACATCTACAGAGGCATAAAATCCCTCTTCAGTGGAAGAGGCTAAGCCTTATGTACTAAAGGGAGCAAAATTTTCAACTGTGTTGTCTTTCATAATTTGCAGCCCTCCATTAGTGAGGAACTTGGGAACAAAAGGCACTCATCTACGTCTGGTGAGAATAGTCAGCAGAGACTTGGGGGTCATTCCTCTGCAAAGCCGCCGAGTGCCGCGAAGCGCTCGTCTGCCACTCAGCTTCGGGTCCCAATAAACTCTCCGAGAAGGAGTACTTCGCAGGAGTGAAGCGATTCCGTGACAGTTCATGCCAGAACAGTGCTGCCTTCATCTCAACAAATGGTGCAATGCCTGAGAAATAAGACTCTTACGAAAGTTGTTTGTTCTTGAGATCAACATTTACATCAGTATTTGGGAAAGCTCTTCTGAGGTTTAATTGTGATAATCAGAAAAAAAAAGTAGTGACATTTTTTTCAAACAAGAGAAATCTTATAAGTATTTCCCCTGATTGCACACACAAGCATAGTGACCTTTCATAGAGACCGTGTACAGGTATCTTTTGGTCCCGGTATTTTATTGTTGTTGTTGTTGTTTTTTCCAAAGGTAACATTCACAGGAATAGCATTCTTTTTAAGTGTATTTTAAAAACAACATAAGGGAGTGCCTACCATTTCAGCTCATACTACAGTAGGTTGTATTTCTCTCTGCTGTGGAGCTTTCTTAAAGAATCCGATTGTTCCACTATCAATTCATATTGGAATTGGAAGATTTTGTAGTTATTTTGTAAATTCAGAGAAGAAACAAAGTGATAGTTACTTTTTGTTTTAGATGTATGGTTTAAGGGAAGTTCCTCTTTTCCTTCACAGTAGAAAAGTAAATAGCAAGATAGTGATTGTGCAAGTGTATGCTCTGCCAGTGTGGGGTTCTGGTTTTTCTTGTGGTCCTCGTGATTTCCATGGCTGTCCGGCCAGAGGCTTAAGCCGGTTACATACTAACAGAGGTTGACTTTGTAGCTCCATATAAATTTGTACCTGGGATTGAAAGCCACTGGGATTGGTTGCACTATTGAACTAATTAAATCTGTTTTTACTTTGAATGCATTTGCTGTTTGTACACTGGCAAGTAAGCATGTTACAAGTCATCGGATCATTTCCATTTTAAAAGGAGTATTTAATTTTCCCTTTTTTTAAAAAAATGTTTTATGCTCATACCTGGTTTGGAGAGTCATAACCAATCGATTTCTAATTTTTATTTCTGTTACAACTGATGTAAATGATAGTTTCAATTTCTGTGGGATGTAAAAAATAAAGCATTATTTTGAATTATTGAAAATGATTTGAAGAACTGTAAAATGCAGATTCTGCTGGTAGAAGACCCTTCATTTTGAGTGAAGCGTCATTTATAGATGTATTATATCCATTTCTAATGAGCACAGCATGATTCACAAATGTATTTTATTGGCAGAAGCAGCTACTTTCAATACATTAATTATTTTTTGAATAGATGTCACAAATGGCAGAATTGAACTATGCGTACTCTTTTTTGGCTAGATGGGTTATTCATCATAGATAGATTCTCATTATTTTCCATGCGTAGTATTTCCCAATTTTACAGTATTTATGATTTGGGGGTCATTTTGGTAGTTTAATTTCAGGAAAGTTTTTAAATATTCAGAAAACAAACTTAGAAAATTTTTTTAGCCTTAGGCATGGTCTTTATTGACGTGGACACTGTACAAATGTTATAATTTCCTTTTGTGGCAAAAAGTATAAAAATAATTTTTACATAGGAATCCTTTATTACTGTAAAGCGTTGTAAATCTCTGAAGATGGTTCTAAAATGAGGGCAGATGAGTAAAAGTGGAAATGCAGAGGCAGCTATGGGACAGCAGGAGGTTGGTTCAATCCTCGGCTCTCCCCGGGAGGGCTCCAAACGAGAGCTCTGTCCTCTGCAAGCGCTCCGGACTCAGGGCCCCAGGGAGGACACGTGGGAGATGGAGGAGGAGCTGGAGCAGTGGGCAGGAAGCAGCGAAGGTTGTTGGTGAGTACTCTGCGGCACTCCTGCTTCCCTTCCAAGGGAGCCTGGGGGTGTTGGATGAGCTGCCCCGAGGCGGAGTTGGGAGAAGGCCAGTACCATTGGGTGGTGGTGGAGCCTGGGCTGGAGAAGGTTCTGGAAAAGGAGAAGTGACCATCTTGGCTCCGTGGTGTAGGGAGTGGAACCCCTTTCTCCTGCTGTGTAGCACAGCACAGGTGCCAGTGCCGTGGTGGGAGCCGCGGCCAAAGCTGCAGAGGATGGGACCTGAGGGAGCCAGGAGCTGTGTGGGGTGGGGTAGGCGGAGGCCCCAGGTCAGCCAGCCCCAGGTCAGCCAGCCCCGGGCCCAGCCAACACTCAGCGTGTCCCTGGTCGGTCACAGGTTGAGCACAAGCACATCAAAGAGGTCACAAACACCTTCACTCTTGCTCAGGTCGTAGATATGATCAGGTCTCCAGGGGGTGGAGAAAGACGGAGGAGTGGGGCAAGCACTTCTGAGGACAGCAGCTCTGAGCTCATGCACTCTTGGCGTGTGATTGAAGATCTCCCACAGCTCCTTGGGAAGTTCCAGGATGCCTGTGGGGTCAACCTTGATTGGCTCGAAGGAGATGGAAGGCTTAAGGCCGGGTGAGCTGGAGGTACTGCTGCCGTCCAGGGGAGCTAAAGACTGCAGGGGTCGAGTGTCCTGCGCTGTGCGGCCCAGCAGGAGGGAACTGAGCTGAGCTTCCCAGGATCCTTGTTCTTGGCGGCAGGGCCACTACTCACTGTGAGCTCAGCTGTTGGGTCACCACGACCCGAACTTTGGTACAGGCAGAGACAGGGGTCAGGGACAGGCAGCTGGGGACTGCTCGGACGCGACGGTTCCTGGGTCTGGGCCAGCGCAGGTTTGAGCAGAAGTGGAGAGGTACATAGGGCAGGAGTGCTCAGGAGCAGATCCTCAGGCGGTGGCACGGGCACAGCCACGGGAAGGGAACTCCATGCCTCTTTATTCACCAGCAGCACCTCAACGCTCTTCAAATAGATTTGGTAATTCTGCCCATTGAGGTCCTCTGGAACGGGCACCTCCAGGCTGGTGCCGGATTGGGGCCGGATGGCCGGGAGGGTTTCTCCAGCAAAGCACCTGCAGGTGTCTTCACGAGTCACACAAGCCAAGCAGCTGTTCTGCACATGGTTGGTGATGGACGCTCTGCTGCACGCATACCTTGCGCTGGAACAGCTCCTGCTCCTGCTGTTGCAGCTCTTCAGTCTCAGCCTTGAGATCGATCGGCTCGTCCGTGATCTCTCAGGTGTTGCAGCCAGTCCCTACTCCCTTCCACTGGATGCTGTTCCTGGATTTCTTCTCCATCAGCCCAATACCTTCCAACACGTTAGTGATGTCATAAACCGCCGCTTCTGGCTCATGGCTAGGGTGTCGCGAGTTTGAGGTCAAGCACACCGTCCTTGGCCTCCTGCAGCAGGGACATGAACTTCGTGGTCTGAAGTCCCAGGCTCTTCTCGTGGTGGCTCGGGGTGCCCCAGGGGTGGTGGCACCTGGGCCCGGTCTCAGCCATCGCACCCGCCTGCCACCTCCCGCAACCAGGGCAGGCTGGCGCCGCTACTTCAGCTTCCGGCCTCGGGTGCCCTTAAACTTAGAAATGTTATAAAAGGTTTACAAAACAAAGAATGGCTAGGAGTAATGAATTATTAAGTGTTCAGAGTTTTTAAAAAGATTTATTTGTTTATTTGAAAGGCTGGATTAGAAGGAGAGAGAAAGAGATCTGCATCCATTGGTTCACTCCCCACATGGCCTCAGTCAGCAACGGCTTGACCAACCCAAAGCAGAAGCTGGGGGCTTCATCCTGGTTTCTCGCTTTATGTGTTCTTCTTGGCGTTCCCAGGCATTTACTAGGGAACTGGGTAGGAAGTGGACAGCTGGATAGGAGGTGATGCAGGTGGAAGATTAGTTTGCTATACCACGTTGTTGGCTCTTTTCTCAATAGGCCAATCCTCCACCTTCAGGTGCCGACATCCCATGTAGGCACTGATTAGTGTCCCATCTGCTTCATTTTCCATCCAGCTCCCTGCTTATGGCCTGGGAAAGCAGTAGAGGATGGCCCTAAGCCTTGGGACCCTGCATGAACACTGGAGACCTGGAGGAAGTTCCTGGCTCCTAGCTTCAGATTGGCTCAGCTCCAGCTATTATGGCCCTTTGGGGAGTGAACCGGAGAAGTTTTTGGATAAAGTTTATATAGTTGATCAGGGTGGGAAGGATCCAGGGTTAGGGAAGAGTAGGTGTGATCATTGTTTTCAAGTTTTATTTCTTCTTCCCATTTCTGGAGGGAGGGAGAGTTAAGGGGAGAAGCCATACCCAGCCTCCCAACCGCCCCAGTACCCAGGGATGGAGAATGGCTACCCGATATCAACTCAGGGTCCCAATGTGGCTCATGCTCCAATGGTTCTGTCCAGGTGGTTGCAATAGTTCTGAAATGCTGTCTATCTCATCAATCTATGGATGAGGAAACCCTTTCAATGTCCTTTGGCTGACACAGCTGACCTTATAGTCAGGTATTTTCCCAGGTATTTGCTGTCATTCTTTGGCCAGGATAGTTTTCTGTGTGTTCTGTACTGCATTCTCTGTTATGGTACCAAATGTCCTCTGCAGGCCCCAATGGGCTACCATATCTTCTATGTGCACCATGGCTTGCCATCTAGCACTCCATCCTTTACACTGAAGAGGACTGATTCTCACAGGTGGGTCCATGGGCACAGGTGGGACCCACTGCCTCTGGGGCTCACATTAAACACCCACCATGCAGGCAGGTCCCTGCCAGATCCCCTACTCCCTGAGTTGAGGGACCTGGCACCCACTGCCGGAGTCCAGCTCCAGCTGAGTTCGGAACTCGAGAAGGGTGTGTGGATGAGGCGTAAAGAGGAAAGAAAGAGACGGACCACTAGGACTTCATGATCATAATGGACGACGCACAAAAGCTGTCCGCTTTATTTATACAAAATCAGTCAAACTCTGGCTCAGACTTTTTACGTCACAGTCAAGTGGGTGTTTCTAAAGTTAACTCTGCCATAGTTTTACCTAGAAACAATAGAAGCTCCTGATAGCATTACCTAGAAGTTCCTGCTAGGATTCTTATCCTACAACTCAATCTTGTATCACAAAGAAAAGGGGAGTCTAAAGAATGAGGAAAGAATGAAAGCCTAAATCTAGATCCCTTGATTAGCATAGGTTCAATGGGGACAGCCAAGACAGTAGGAATGATAAAGGGCCCTTCTGCAAGACATTGACCTCCAAGCTCAGGCTGAGCAAAAGGTTAACTTCGCAGTAGCAAATGCCAGGATGGATTAGAATTCTTCCGCAGGGTGGTCCGGTGTCCATGCAAAAGAAGGTGGAGCTGCATTCAGGTGGTTGTAGAGACATCCACTGGGCGGGCCCTGCCGAACAGCGGGAAATTCCTTGCGGCCCTGCCTGCAATGGAACACTCTAACCCCCTCACGTCCCCCACATATACTGTATGGACCCCAACAACCCACCTTGCAGGTGGGCTCAAGGACCAGGAACAGATTATTCAGGCCTCATTAGGCTCCCCACCCCCGGGGCTCATGGGCTTGACACCCACCACGCAGGTGAGCCCAAGGACCTGGGGCCAGGTGACTCAGATGGCATCAAAACCCCAACCTCTGAGGCTCATGGATCCAGCATCACCTCACAGGCAGGCCGAAGGGCCCGGGCCAGACATCCTAGGCCCTGTTGAACCCCTCCACCTCTGGGTCTCACGGATCCAGCACCTACTGCCCCCAGACTGGCATGATTCATCTCACCTTGACGTCCATCAGCAGGTGCTGGAGCCTGGTTCAGTCTAGCCCGTCCCCAATTCCAG